ATACGACTGGACAAAAATTGTCAAGGGGAACCTTTACCTTTACTGTACCTTTACCCGAGTCTTTTGGTGTTGTTGTTTAGTCATTTAGTCATGTCCGACTCTTTGTGACCCCATGGACCAGAGCACGCCAGGCCCGCCTGTTTTCCACTGCCTCCCAGAGTTGGGTCAAATTCATGTTGGTCGCTTCGACGACACTGTCCAACCATCTCATCCTCGGTCGTCCCCTTCTCCTCTTGCCCTCACACTTTCCCAACATCAGGGTCTTTTTCCAGGGAGTCTTCTCTTCTCATGAAAAGTCTTTTGGTACCAAGTCTCATGTCCCAAGCCCCAAATCTGAGCCCCTATTGAAAAACAAGCTTTTTTGTCCCCCAAAGAGGGAGGGGCGGGTGAGTTCCAAGTCACGAATTGAGTCCGAGTCACTTGGGAGGGGACACATACAAGTTGATTCCAACTCAAGTCACTGGTGCGACTGAAGCCTGACGTGACTGTGTGTTGTGCAACTGAAGTCCCGGGCCTGGTTATCATTTCAGAAGCAGCAGCACAGTCTGGGCTTGGTGTTAACATTCCACTCAAGTCCAGGCCCAAGGCCATGTATTTATCGGTTGGTATAATGGCCTGCAGGCCTCTGCTAGAAATGTCCTGTACTTGATACACAAGAGATGTCCTGACCTTTCCTGAACTGGTTGGCTGATGAGCCCCAAGGTGCAATCTTTTCTCCAGGGAGCCAACTACACATCAGACTAGCCACAGCGCTTTGGCCCTACAACACTGCTGGCGTGAACTACGTGCCTGAGACAGAGGAGTACTTGGAAATAAATCTGTAGTGAAACACATGACGTGAGAAAAAGAAATTTTAAAAATCTGCAAAGATTAAAATTGCGATGTCGCTACCTGAAAAGTAGGTATGCAGAAAATATATAAGCACATAATTTCTCCATTAAGATATTAATGAACCAATTGCCTACATATTTATTTTTGCATATCCCCCTTTAATCCGGAAGCATTGATTTCTCTGAAACTATGCACTGATTTGGGCTCCTCAGCTTGACTCCTAAATGAACAACAATTTTTGACAGGGGAATGACCTGTTGGATGAACTTGCAAGAGTGTGTGAGGTGTTGAGGACCTAGCTAGAAAATGTAGACTGCAATCCAGAAGGAATACACTAGACAAGGTATAATCCTTTGTAAAAGGTACTTTAGCCAAATCCTGCCAGTATCTGCCATGCGTGTTAACATTAGTCATACAACTTTTTCTCTTCTTTTGGCAGGGCCCCAACACAAGCCAGGGTTTACAAAAGGCAGGCTGCAGGAAGGAGAACAGTTACACAACTGTCTCTGCCTGGCCACATGCCTGATTAAGAGCCAATCCTTTGCCTTTTACAAATTTTCATAGAATCATAGAAAAGTGAAGTTGGAAGGGGCCTATAAGGCCATCAAGTCCAACCCCCTGCTCAATGTAGGAATACAATCAAAGCATATCTGCCAGGTGATTATCCAAGTTTTTCTTGAATGCCTCCAGTGTTGGAGCATTCACCAACTCCTGAGGTAACTGGTTCCACTGTCGTACTGCTCTGACAGTTAGGAAGCTTTTCCTGATATTAAAGTGAAATCTGACTTTCTTTAACTTGAGCCCATTATTGCATATCCTGAAATCTGGGATGGTCGAGAACAGATCTTGCCCCTCTTCTGTATGACAGCCTTTCAAATATTTGAAAAGTGCTATCATATCACCCCCTCAGTCTTCTTTTCTCAAGGCTAAACATGCCCAGTTCTTTCAGCCTTCCCTCATAAGACTTGGTTTCCAGTCTCCTGATCATCCTTGTCGCCCTCCTGTGAACTTCTTCCAGTTTGTTAGCATCCTTCGTGAAGTGTGGTGTCCAGAACTGGACACCATACTCAAGGTGAGGCCTAACCAGTGCTGAATACAGGGGGACTAGCACCTCGCGGGATTTGGAAACTATCCTTCTGTTAATGTAGCCTAAAATAGCATTTGCCTTTTTTGTAGCCACATCACACTGTTGGCTCATATTTAGCTTGTGATCTATGACAATTCCAAGATCCTTCTTGCTTATTGTTTTGCTGAGCCAGGTATTCCCCATCTTGTAACTGAACAGTTGGTTTCTTTTTCCCAGGTGCAGTACTTTGCACTTATCCCGGTTGAATTTCATTCTGTTGCTTTCGGCCCAGTGCTCCATCCTATAAAGGTCATTTTGAATCCTGTTTCTGTCTTCTAGAGTATTAGCTATTCCACCCAATATGGTATCATCTGCAGATTTGACAAGCACTCCCTCATCCAAGTCAATAATAAAAATGCTGAAGAGCACTGGGCCTAGGACTGAGCCTTGGGGCACCCCAGTTAGAGAAGGACCCATTAATCTTTACCCTCTGAGTACGATTCTGTAGCCAGGGGGATACGATTGTGTATCCCCCTGACACTTGATCTATCCAGCCCACACCTAGTTAGCTTACTAATCAGGATATCATGCGGAACTTTGTCAAAAGCTTTACTGAAGTCAAGATATACTACATCTACAGCATTCCCTCTGTCTATCAGGGAGGTGACCTGAAAGTGTCAGTTTTGTGGAAATCCCCTCACTTAACACAAAAATGAAATCATCTAGGTAGCACCAGTTCTTGATGCATGACTGGGCTGTTCCTTGTTCTTTTTAGAATGATACTGGCGCTAAGAAAGAGAAAGCAGGTTTGAATATTTTATTTTCCCCCTTGGTAGTCTAATCAAAACTATGCATTTGGTGAAGCCGTTACTTGTCCCATCCACTAATGAGATTTCTCACTGCAAACATTTCAAAAGGGCTAACCATAGTAATTGTTGCCATCAAAACTAGGAGTCCTGTAGTACCACATAGACAGATGAACATACTTATCACAGAATGAGCTTTCAGGGACCACAGCTGACTTCAATGAAGATGTAAATTTTGGACTAGCACTTCAAGTATATATAATCTACAATATATACCGGTATCAGTATTCTTTGTATTCAACTTGTCTCTGACCTCATGCTGAACTATGGGTGATATGCAGGACTTCTGGGAGTGATGGAAGTAACTGCATAATGTACACTTCACACCCAAGGAAAAAGGGATACTGTATTTTTCTCTCCTGGATACCTGTTCTGTTCACTCCCGTGTGCTAGTCAACACATAAAGCCAGTCTACCACAACCTGATCCATTCCAGGGAGATTAGAAGACATTGGTTTCAGCAAGATTTCACCCAATGTTTTTTTTTCCTAATGCAACTTTGTGTAAGCAGCAGAGCTCTGAAGTAAACACTTACAATTAGTTACTTGTAGGGAATTAGTTCCCTTTCCCTATAACTAAGTATATGATATTGCAATTGTAACTTCCCTGAAACTTTCCATTTTCCTGTACAAATATGAGGATGTCACCTCAGTAAATGGCGGAGAACACATATTGCACTGTATGCCTGACACTCTGCTGTGGAGGAATGAGGCAGATGGAAAAAGGGAATGCTCTGTATCACACACAAGCAGCTTGTGGCATTTAGACAATTTTTAAAGTACCTATTTTAGCTCATTTGGAGAAATGGTAATGGAAAAACATAGACTAATATCCTGTTACCTAAAGGAGTGGAAATTGCACAAGAGTCATCCCCAGCTCTAGCAGACTCCCCATGACATGCCTATCTGTGCACTGGTGACAAGATCGGTCACACAAGGTGGATCCTGCAGGATCAGCCACTGCCCTTCTGCTCTGCATTCAGGCTTCGAAATATTAGCCACACTTTTTGAAAAAGGTAACTGTAATAGCAACTAACTACATCTGAAAGTTCCCAGAACTGCATCTAATGACTTACTTTTTTAAAAAATGGTTTCCACGCTCTGGCAAAACTTGGAAACCTGAGTAAACCCATCACAGAAGTGGAGCTTTAAACAGAAGATTCCCCTCAGGAAAGCAAATATTTGTAAATAAACTGATAGCTTAGTAAAAGAAAGAGCACTGCTTAATTATTGCAACAAAAATTAAATTGCAACAATTATGAAACATTACAGTGCTTTTAGGTAAGGCACAAGGTAATAAGAATCAAGTTCTTATTACAACAGTGTGTGCTGTAGTTTGCAGACACTGGCTAAGAATATAAACCCTTTCTCATTTACCTCTGCCCTTAAAAATAACAGTGACCTACCGGAATTTATTTATTTTATTGCATTTACAGTGGTGCCTCGCTTAACGAGTGCACCGTACAATGACGAAATCGCATAGTGATCCCTTTTTTGGGATCGCTAATGCGATCGCTCAACGTTTTTCAGATAGGGCAAAATTCGCTTTGCGAAGATCGGTAAGTGTTTCACTTACTGATCTTCGCAAAACGAAGCCCGACGATCAGCTGTTCAGCAGCCAAAATGGCCGCCGGAAGCCCGGAAATGGCCCAAAATGGCTGCGCGCAGCGTTTTCGCGCCCTCATTAAGCGAGGGGAGGGCGCGAAAATGACTGCCGGGCATTAAGAAGCATCGCTGAACGGTGAGTATTCGGCCCATTTGGAATGCATTAAACCATGTTTAATGCGTTCCAATGGAATTCCCTGCCCTGTTCAACGATGCTTCAGCATAGCGAAGGTTAATCCGGAACGGATTAACCTCGCTATGCGAGGCACCACTGTATATGCCGCCAATCTAGATATAGTCTACTCTGGGTGGCTCACAACATACAAGATAAAAACAATTTAAAATATACAGTTTTACATAAATAAAAACAAAGTGACATAAAATATAAATCGTAGAATGAATCATGTATCCATAATTTGGGAGTGGCAGGGAAGAGACGGTTAATATTCTAAGGCAATACCTGCAAACTACAGCGATTGCTGTCATTAGAAGACCCTGATTTACTCTCTGCTAAAAACTGACAGTCAGTCCTCAAACGACTGTATCTGGTCCAGAACTCACTAGGGCGCTTCTTAGAAAGGAATCCTCTCACTTTTCATGGAAACTCCATTAGGTATAGATCAATTTAAATCACTTAGAATTCTTATTCATTTTTATTTTTGAAACAATAGGTCACCGATATTGGAAAGGGAAAGTGCTGAAAGCGAAAACAGGTTGCAACCAATGTTTCTACTGCCGCTTATGAAGCCCGTGGTATAATAACTGAATATCCAACAAAGCGAGAAAGGGAGCTTTTGAAATGATAAGTGGAAAGTAAATGACAACCTCATGATCTGCTCAGAAAAGAGTTCTTATTCAAACAAACACAATTTAACCACAATCAACTGTCTGACAATCAATTTAGAAAGAATAATTAAAAACTCCCTGTCCACCTATCTCAATATGGCGCGCGGGGGGGGGGGAGAAGGCTCATTAATAGCAGGTAGTGTTAAGAAAGCCATTTCGCCATTTCTGTTTTCAGAAAATGTAAGCTACTTCGGGTCTCGTGCCTTCCCGTCCGTTCATTGAACTGCTTGGGCCAAAGACTGCTGGTACTGTATTCGAGCAGGAAAATGATCGGCGGGTCTGTTGTAAGCTGTCCACACAGGATCCCCAACAAAGAGTCTCATCGCCTTCACATAATTCTGAGGGAAGAAACACACAGTCAATATAGTTAACTATGGCAAAAGTGGTGGATTAAAGTATCAAGCGGTGAAAGGAGGATGGTTTAAGAATAAAGTTACCTCTAAACAATCTGATCTACCGCTCAGGTCTAACTTCCTGCTTCCTCACCCTTTCATCTGTTCAGCTGTGCAGGGAACTCCCTAGGTTGTTCATAGACAGTTTTTTGTGACACCCAAACCAGTAATCTACAGCCTGAATGCTTCCTGCAAGCCAATACAAGTAGCCTGTCCTGAAGCCACGATAGGTTTGGATGTCAGAAGAAGCCAGCGTAAGAGAACCGAGACATCTCCTCTAAGGGACAAGGGTGCAAGACAGGACTGATTGCGCACCTGATACTGTAGTAGTCCAGCTTTCTTCCCACAGAATCAGACCTAACTGATTTCTATTCACATCACAGTAAACTTAAAGGGGGATCATAACAGCCACAACAGCTATAAATATGTTTGAGCCATATTTCCAAACCATGTTAGTGACTGAGAGACATCAGAACAACCTGGAGCTGGGCTACCTACTGGTCGGAAAAAAGGGAGGCATCTCTGGCCTAGCCTGCTCATGCCTTCCCTCAAAATAGCGGAGGTGGGCAGGAGGGAAGAAGTAGGACTTCTCACAGCATGGGCGATCGCTGCCACCACTGGCCTAGTTAGAAGAGCTTCATAGCTTTGCTGGAAAATGATGTTTTCTGGTGGGAGACTGGAAAAGCCACACTTCATCTACAACCAGGGCAGGCAAAATGTAGACCATGGAGTGAGTGCCACCCAGGCCACTTCTGTGGGTCTTCCTCATCCTGAGGGTCTCCCAGCACTCCATACCCGCACTTAAAAAAAATTATGGGAAAAAATTGTTCAGGAAGCGACCGCAAGTCCTCTAGGGCCAAGGGCCCCAACCACCGGTCTGCAGCCTGGCACCAGGCTGTGGCCTTGGCAGGACCGGGCCACAGAGACAGATCTCTCTGCCGCACATATGCCCCCCTACACACCCCCACCCCCACATGCACACATGGGTGCCCCCGTGCATGCACACATGTGTACCCCACCCCCCTGCACATGGGGGCATGGGTGCCCCGTCCCATCGCACACGGACCATATCCCTCCCTCAGCCCACAGTTTGGAAAAGGTTGGGGACCACTGCTCTAGGGAACTTAAAAGGCAATTCTGTTATGGCTTGAGACCTCCTTGAAACTCCTGCCCACCCATTATCTTCCATTTAAAAAAATATCCACTAGAGAGCACAAGGGCTCTTCTTCAATCCAAGGGGAAATTTTTTTTGAAAGTTACTCTATACACACACACACACACAAACACACAAAATATCAGTGGTACATGTTGCCATGGGTCTCATTCTGAGGGGAAAAGATTGAGATACAAATGAAATACATATAATATTGCCATGTTTTGTGAACCAAATACAGTTTTCCCCTACAATTAGGTGCATAAAAAGTAAAGCTTATAGAAATGGAAAAAAATCTACCCGGGCCTTTATTGGCCGACATCTCTAAGACTCTAAGAAGCCCAAGCCCACTTTCACAGGGTGCTTCCAGTCTGTGTCCTTTCAATCTGCCTGTTCTACCTCTGGGTTGCCTTTCATTAAAGGCTATTGTTTGTGGTTTATGCTTTGTGTGCAGCATTCTTCACAAAGCAGAACGAACTTTCGAGTCAGATAGAACACACAATCGCAGCCCAAAATGGGGCTGGGGACTAGAATCCAGTCGAGCTGTTATTGCAGGGAACAGAACTGACCCCCCCCCCAACCGCCCCCCCCCGAAGAGATTTCCAACCTCATTCCACAAACCGGTTCCCGGTCAGGGGCCTCGGAGTGACAGACCCACAGTGCGACAGTGTCCTCCACTTTCTGCACTGAATGCTTTCTACCCTTTCACAACAAGTCAAACAACAGGACAAGCAGATCGGATCTCCCAGGGCTCCTCCGGGTAGTTGCTATGGCAACACCAATCCCGTACTAAAGATGGATTTTATGACAAGGCTGGAGACACCAGCGCTCCATTTATCTGGGAAGGCAGCAGAACAGAGCCGAGGAGGCCCCAGATGTGCTCTCATCCTGTGCCTTCCTGAACCTTTAGGAATTGATTTCTAATCCCAGGGAGGTGGGAATGACACCTTGGAAGACAGGTGAGTTTTCTGTTTGAAACTGGATAGAGATTAGGCTTTGATTTTCAGCAAAATACAGACACAGCCAAATAAATAAAATACGAATTCCCATCAGTGGTGCTAGGAAATAAAAGCAAGTGAACAATTAGGGTGGGAAGGTAAAGGGAAGTACTGCTATCAGCTGTTTGTCTTTTACATGCAGAGAGAGAGAGAGAGAGAGAGAGAGAGAGAGAGAGAGACTATACCTCAGAATTTCTTTTCCCAAATTATCTCCACGTCCTTCAAAAACCTCTTCCCTGCATCTCTAATTCAGGTGTTCACACCACTAAGGTACCAGAATCTGGTTGTTAATATGCAGTTCAGCATCTGCACACAATCTTGTCTCAACAATATGTGGATACTTATATATAAAAATAGTAATTTCATACAGATTCATCCAGTGTAAATCGGTGATAGATGCCAGCGGGAAGTGTGATCATGTCTCCTTTTACCATGGCAATCCGGATCCATTTGTCGTCTTTATCGCGAACGTCAAAATACCCACTTCCTTCCAAGATGTAGCGAATCTCATCATCCAGGTGTAAGTGCTCTTCATAAAATATTTTTATCTGGGGGAAAAAAGGAGGGAAGAGAGAAAACGTATTTTCATCTCGTGAGTCTACTACAAGCTGTAAGCACACTGCTTGCTGCAAAGATGGGAAGATGCTAATATTTAAAAAAAAACACCAAATAAACAACCCAACCCTGAAGGCCACCTTAATAACAAGCTATTTAGCATTTATGCAGTGTATAGCATTTATAAAATACATACAGTGAGTTTGGGCTCTCAGTCATCGTTTCAGCAACTCTGCAAAGTTGATCAGCTTGTTATTATTCCTCTACTGCAGTTGAAGAATTGAGCTAAGCCTCCGTACAGCAATGCATTTATAGCTGAGTGCCTTTCCAACTTACACTCTTAGTTCTCACATCACCCCACCTTTAGTTTTAGAAATACTACTGCTGGTAGAGTTAAAGGCTAGTCACAAGTAACCACAAATTGCATGCATGTATGAAATATGTCTTCCCACAGGAACGAGACACACTCTTCCACAAAGAGGCACAGATTCATGTTTCTGGACTACAGCTCCCAGGATTCCCGAGGCTGGAAAATTTATTTCCAGTCTCAACACAGAGTCGATTTCCAGTCCCAACAGAGCGTCTACCCTGCCTTATTCCCCATCACTCATTTATTCCAATTTTATTTATTTATAAATAGCATTTATCAGTGCCAGGTTTTCAAAGCAGCTTACCATAAGACAAGGTAACGAAAGAAGCAAATTTGAAAAACAGCAGCAGTCTCTACATGAACTAAATACAAATGAAAATAAATCTAAAAAGACAGTACTAAAAGATCTAGGCACATGCCTCAATTAATGCTGAAAGGACAACAGGAAAAAACATGTAAGTCATAGGTCACATCTAAACCACAGAGAATGAGAATGGGAAATCCGATACAACTCAAACTAATTAGGTGGGAGAAGTGAGAGTGAATTCTCACAAAAGATGCCCCTTACTGGCTTGCTCCACTGTTTCTGTAACTACCAAAGGAATTGGAAGAATACTCTAGACAAAGCCTGAAAAGGGAGAGCTCTCTCTATTTAAGCCACATCAGGCGAATGTACGGTCCTCTAGGAGGTGTTGTCTTGGCAATTCCCATCAGCCCTAGCGGGTGTAGTCAATACTCCCCTTAGAGATAAGGGGAAAGGTGGTCTAAGTGGTAAGAATGCTAGGACAGGAATTTGGGGTGTCAGTCCAGGGAAACTTATGTCAAAGAACACCCACCATCCTTTAAGGTGCTAAAGGGGTCTTTGATGTGTTTGCTGCAATAGGCTAATCAATTGTTCCACACACACCCCAAAACCCACCTAAACAGGTGCAACTTATCCCACTGTGCAATCTATATGCCAGGATTCACCTGCCAGACAGGACTGCTGTTAAAAGGCAGAGGAGCCCTGTCAGAAAAACAAAAGGCAGCCACCAAAGGGAAACTACAAGGAACTCACACACACCCATCTTTTTCTGTTATTAAAGATCAAAAACATCCTTTGAAAAAGATAAAAACTGCATGACAATTTTGGAAGAAAGGGAACCCATTGTTCAAAGAAAAAGAAACTTCTGAAACTGGAACACACTCTAGTGGTGAATTAATGCATTTGCATCCCTTAAACTTCTAAAGCAAAGACAGAATTCTTACCTTTTCTTCATAATTTGGCAGCTTATCTTTATGTATTGTTATTATATCCATCCAAGAGTAGTTATTCTCCTTCCGAATCTTTGCTAGCTGTGGGTCAGTTTCATAGTTGTCAGCATCCAACTACAAAATAAAGAGAATTCGGGGGTTTTCCTAGCTGAATTCTACAAAATGAAGCTGGTAATAATCCCCCTGCCTACTTCAAAAGCACTTTGTGTACACAAATGGCTCAACAACTTTACAGAGTAGATGGCGAGCAATTCCACTGTGAGGAAAGAAAATTGCAATGAATAGTACCACTCTTTTCTTCTTTACAATTCTTTTTCTGACATATATGACTGTTTTTAAAATGTTTTTTAATCTAATGCTCTTTTTTATAATTTTGTTTTTAATATAATGCATTTTTAATATTTTAATTTACACTTTCATTGTCCCTTCCCTCCACATTTTGTAAGCTAACTTGAATCTCTGAAACTGGAGAAAGGCAATACCATGTTTCCCCTAAAATAAGACAGGGTCTTTTATATTAATTTTTGTTCCAAAAAACGCAATAGGTCTTATTTTCAAGGGATGTTCCTTTTTTTCCCCATGTACAACAATCTAAATTTATTCAAATACAGTCATGTCATCTTCTGGTTGCTGCACAAAGGTGGAGGGCGGGGTTTCACGTAACTGGGGCTTATTTTGGAGGTAGGGCTTATATTACAAGCATCCTGGAAAATCATACTAGGGCTTATTTTCAGGTTATGTCTTATTTTGGGGAAACCAAAAATATATACATCCATCATCTTCTTTCTTCTGATTATTTAGATGTAACCAGAAGAGGTATATATATAACCAAAAGAAAGAAGATGATGGACAACCAAGATGTTATCATATGCTTGGAACCGTTTGGACTGGTAAAACGCTGCTCCGTTTAAGTTAACTTATTAAATTAAAAAAAATTAAAATCCTAACACTGTGGTTTTTGCAAGCTGATAATCCTGAATCAGTACATAAAAGAAAACACAAGCACATTAACAATATTATTACAGTATCGAGTAGCACAAGTTTTCCTGCCTATTACAGCACCATCCATTACAACCAGCAGTTGCCACCATCATGGGAATAACTGCTGGCCATTTTCATGATCCCTCAATTGATATCTATATAACAGGTCTGCTCTCTTAGAGGATAAAACATCTTCTGGGAAGTGGCCATAACAAGCATATTTCCAGGATTCGCTTTGGTTCTTCAAAACAGGGTTATGACCAAGCTAGCCTTTGAAAGTAAACAGAGGTTTTCCAAAGAAAAAGACTGATACCTCAAGTAGTCCATACCCATGAAAGAGCACTAAGCCCTTTAGACGGGTTTCCCTTTCAGGATTTCTCTCCAGGCAGCCTGCTAACCTTGGTAGGGGCAGCTTTTGAAAGCAAAACAAGTTGGCCTTGACAAGGAAAGTAGCAGAACTATAGTAAACAAGTGTGATTGAATTTAAACACCAACAAGGATCAAGTGTTTAATGTGCTACCCAGGTCTAGATTACCTGCATTTGCTCACTAACGACAATAGCTCCACCTCCCAGAAAATAGAGCAGAGTTCAGGAGAATATAAATGCACACATGCTGCTCAACCCCAGTCCCACCTATGAACCACAGCAGCAAAGTTCCAATGTAGTGGTTCTGAAACTTTGATCTCTGGATATTTTCTACATTCCAATTCCTGTAAACCCAGCATGTTCAAACAGCCAGGGGCTCCCGAAAACAAAGTCCAAGAACTGTTGGAGAAATAAGTTGGGAAACAGCTATTCTAGTGTAAACCATAGTGAAAAGAGAGTGGACGATATACTGTTTGCAAATATGCACTAAATGGACAACACAAACAGTTCATGCTTTCTTCACATTGACACTTCTCTTAACTCCAGCAGGCTTTTGTAGCCAATACTGATAATCACACAAATATTACTAATGTTGGTCAACTAGGAAAGAGTTAAACACACCCAAACTTGGACCGACCTAAGTGGCAAAAAGCAATGAATAAGATGTTGAGGTCTCCACCACAGGATGTCAAACAGAAGAATGTAGGAAGAGGTTTCATATCCTCCAAGCACTTGATAACATTATTCAGTAGGGTTTCCGCTGGCTCTTTGTATCCTGATACATTGTCAAAAATTAGTCACCAGCTTTGCCCATGTAAGGGCTCCTACATTTTTTTTTGCTCTGTCTTGCTACTTGGGCCTTCTATCTCACTCGGCATCAATGTGCCCTGCCAAGATAAGAACAGATCCAAGTAACTTCCGCCCTTTATGTTTTCATAAACCTGGGGGTCCAGCCATTGCTCCTTCATTATTTCTTTCTGATCAGTTAGGCTCTGGTGCTGTGTCTGCAGAGGAGAGAGAGCTTGCTCCTCTCAGAATCCTAAAACTGATATTCCTTTACATAGGTAGAAACTATGGTCAAGTCAAGAATAGATAAGTATTACTAATAGATTTTGATCCCTTCCCTCTGAATTATTTCTGCAGGCATTCCTTGCTTGGTCCATCCTGAAATATATCCCATCATGTGTGGTCTAACTTCCCTTTCCTCACACTAGTCCCTTCCAAAGTTCAGGACAGCAGCAATTCTCAGCCCCAGGTAACACAGAAAAGGTTCAGGGATCATGGCGTTGTAATCTAAGCATGTTGGTGGTTCTAATCTAAATAACTATGCAATATTTTCAGTGCAGCCCTGTATGTGACCATTGTAAATTAAGTCCCACTGAATTCAATGGGGCTTATGCCCAAGTATGTGATGTGACACTGGAACTTATTTACTTAGAAGTAACTAATTTTTTTCTCAGTGACACTTTCTTCCTAGTGATGCTGCTCAGGACTGCATAATTAGATTTTATCTTAAAATTATTACAAACATTGGCTGAAATCTAATAGATTGTTGTGCTCTGTTGTTTTTAAATGTTTTTGCTATTAAGTTTATTTGCAATTTTTAATATAATGCTTAATTCTTTTTTAATATGTGTATACCTAATGATTTTAGCTTTTAAATATTGTATTTTTAATGAAGTAAGCCACCTCTGGTCCTTTTAAGGAGGAAGGTGGGGTAAAAATATTTTAAACAGAATAGAATAAGTCTATTGAATCAGTGTGGATATGGTGAGTCAACTGCTCCATATTTCCAGTGATTTAATGGGTCTACTCTAGTTGTGACTTACTACTAGATTTCAGCCAATGAATATTTCTTTAATATGTCATAGAACTTTGTTGTAAATTAACACTAGTATATACAAGGTGCATAGTAATATTTCACATCTGGGTATTTCAGACTACAACTCCCAGAAGCCTTCACCACCACCTCTGCTGGCCAGGATTTCTGGGAGTTGAAGTCCAAGAACATCTGGAGGCCCAAGGTTGGGGACCACTGCCCTAGGGCCTAGGCTGCCAGAAAGGTGAATATGTGGGTCCTTGTTCAAATCAAGCCTGAACTGTCTCTGGAGGCAAATATGTTGAAACTAAGGCTTGTCTTACTTTGGGTACATCATGGAAAAGCAGGACTCTCTAAAAAAGACAGTAATACTGGGAAAGGTTGAAGCCAACAGGAAAAGAGGAAGACCAAATATAAAACGGATTGACTCCTGAAAGGAGCCATTGGCTTGACTTTATATGAGCTGAGCAGGTTGTATTGCAGACTGCTCACTGCAACTTACTACTGGAGTTCAGTAATTCCATCTAATGGTTTCCCATCACATCCAACTCTTCTCTCACTGCCTTTCCTCTGTGGTTTTACTTAATCTTCAACATGAGAGAGAGTTCTGGAGAACCAAAGATATTCTGAAACATTTGGGTTGGTCCCAACTGGTATTCCCTACTGCAGTTTGTTCCCCTCTGCCGCCATCTTCTTGTGCCACTGACCAGGTCTGCAATTTCATAATACAGGATAATAGCCAGACATAAAAGTACTGGCCACCACGATCATGCCCTGTCTATATGAGAGCTTGGACAGGCACTTAGATATTTTATAACGGGGGGTGGGGCAGTGGCGGTGGCCAGTTGCTCCCTTAAAGGCACCTTTTAAAGTTTAAAATTTAAACAACTCGTGCCTTTCAGACGGGACTGGACGAGGCTCTTTCTGGAAAAACACCGGACTGCCAGAAGCCGGTCTCATCCTGCCTGCCACAAGATCCCCAAGAGAGCAAGAGGCAAGAAGGGCCCGCCGGCTCTCCCACTCCTGGTGAACCAGAACGAAAAGCAACCCAAAGAGAGTGGCCTTCCCGCGCAGGAGGGAGGAGGGAGGATGCCAAAGGGTCCTTCTCCAGCCACAGTATCAGGGAGTGGGGTTTCTCAGTCGTGGGCTGCGCCGCTGGGCGACCTGCTTAAACCCCCGTCGTCAGAGCGACTTGGCGGCGTCGCGCGGGGGGGGGCTGCCCCACGGACCCCCCGCCCAGCAAGCGCCTGCCCCTCTCCGGCGCTAGGCGGCTCCTTGCCCGGCTCGCTCCGAGGGGGAAGCGCGCAAGCGGGACGAGGGCGGAGGCCAGGGCGCTACCCGGCGCGAGGGAAAAGGCCGCGCGAGCTCTGGCTCCGAGCTTGCCCGGCGCGCCGCCCGCC